GAGGGGGGAACTACAAAGGCAAGAAGTGACTGGCTTACAAGCTTTCAAGAGGGAACCTAGTACTAGGGGGCATGGAGGAAGGCAGAACCTCCAGTGGGTACTATTCAATCTGTCTGGGCGGAGCTGATGAAAGGAAATACAGATGGGTAACTCGTGAAACTGTAGTGAATAATGCTTATCAGGACCGATTATGAGGGTTGGAAATGCAAAGGTAGACGTTTTGTACAAGGAAGGGAGTGATTAATTCTCCAGGATAGGAGCGGAGGCCCGTGGGACCATCAATGGAGAAGAGCTGAGAGCGGGACCCTACCCAGAGAAACAAGAGATGCCTGAGATAAAGACAGAGACAATGACCTGGAGTGATGAAGCGGCTGGGGACCTTGGACCCAGAGAGGGAAAGGGACTGTGGGCCGAAAACTGGCGGGGGGAAGGGGACGTGTAGGGGGCGGGTTTCTAGGATATACCCTTTGGGTGGTTGATGATGCATGGAGGGGACTGGAACCATGGCAATAAAATGATATACGATGGAATGAATGTAAAACTAAAGTTCTCTCATGTAAACTATCATATAATTCACAGTAAAACATTAAAAAAATAAAATCACTATGAGTCAGTACTGATTAGACAGCACTTAACAACACACATATACATGGATATGTTCTCCTCCAATACCTGTTCAACCTGCATGTCTATCCATACATCTACCCGTAGATCACTGTAATTGCAGGATTGGGCGTGCAACGGTAGGTAATTTACCTTTGTTGCCTTTTAACATCCCTCCTAGTGGGTATGGCACCTGACAACCACCTCCGCCTAACTGCATATTTGGCATTGGCGGGAGGTTTAAAAGGCTAAGAGCGCACCACCCAACAAGTGCTTTTGGATGCCCAAAAGGGAGAAGTGAATGATGTGGACACGTGTAGACCAGGATGTACTTGTGATCCCTGGAAACCTGGTTAGGGCTCTGACTCAGGAGCCGCACACTGGCCGGCACATCACTGGGGAAGCGTAATTTGGGACAAGCGTGAACACAAGTCTGAAGAAAGCTCACAGTTGGGCAGGCCCGAGCAGAGGGAACGAACATAAGACACGCACATTTTCCATCCCAGAGAAGTCTTTTTCCAAAGTCTTCACAGTTTGGGGTCTGGACAAGCGTGCGGAGAGAGTAATGAACTTGCAGAACTGCACGTTCACGCATGAGGTCTGGGTTCATACCAACACTCCAGGGCACCTCCGATCTGACCCCCTCGCGCAAGTCTCCCCCGCGCCCACCCCGCGAGGTCCGCGGGTCCAGAAGAATAGCATGTGGAACACCTGGATAAGCCCCACGCGTCTCCTCACCCAGACTCCTCCATTTCCAGATTTCTTGTCCGGAGAGAGAGCAACTTTCCAAAGGCAAAAAGCAGCCCGCACCAGCCACTCGGTCGCACCCCCAGCCCTCCCCATCTCGTAGAAATTGGCCTCGGATTGGACAGTAATCTGAACTCTTCCCGCCCCCTTACGGCACCTCCAGCCCCAACCCCAGAGCCTAACAAAAGGGGAGAGGCCAGCATGTCCCATCTGGGGCTTCCAGGTGGAACACCCTTCGGGGTACGCAGGAAACCTCGGAGAGTGGGGCGCGGACAAAGGAGTGAGCCCGGGGGCGGGGCCGCGGAAAGCTCTGGAAAAAAAGGGCGGGGGGCTCACCATGGGAGGCGCCGAACGAGCCCGGATCCGGGGCGGCTGCGGGCCGCGGGGGAAGGCTGGCCAGGAGCGAGAACGGGCGGTGCGGGCCAGGATGGGCCGCGGAGGGCGGCCTCGACCCTCGAGGGGGCCCCCGACGCCGAAGCGGTGCGGGGCACGGCGCGGGCGGACCATGGCGGGCTCGGGGCGTACAGGCTGGGAGCTGCCGCGGGCCGCACGGGCGTCTGCGGGCTCTGAGTGAGGGGCGCGGGCCGGGCCGTACCAAGCGCGGGGGAAACACCGCCCGAGAGGGTCGCCGAGCCCAAACCACTGCAGCGAGCGGGGAAACCCGGCGCGCACCTACGGCGTCGGGGGGCGTGGCCGGGCCATACCAAGGCGAGGCGAGGGGAATGTCAGCCAAAGAAGGTTAGGAGAGCAGGGCCGGGAGGAGGAGGAGGGAGAAGACCCGCGAGATAAGACATCTGGGGGTGTGGCGGGAGAGACCATACAAATGGGGGAGGGGTGGCAGGTACGTGGCGGGTAATACCATGTTAACCCGATGCTAGGGGACGGACCACTGTGGAAGTCAAGGTCTCCTCCTCCAGTGCGGGCTCTGGAAAGGGGAGAGAGGCTGGGATTCTGGGCGGGGGAACAAGGAATTCACGTGGGAGGTGGAGGTGCGGAGCGTCCCAGGCGGCTGGGGGTAGGTCTGAAACTTGCGGGCATATGGGCTGGCTCCGGTGGAAAAACAACTACAATGTCCGTCAGCCGAAGCCTCATCAGTGCCTGGAGTCCTCAGGACTGAACCCGCTCTGCACGGACCTGTCCTGATCCTCTAGGATGAGGCTCAGCTCTGGGGATGCCTTCTGTCCCCAGTTCTGTGTAGCGGGAGATGGGGTTGGTCAGCCACTGCTCAGCCCTGAATCTGAGAGTCTGAGCCTGAAGAGAGTGGTGGTCTAGAAACTAAAAGGGGTAACCCAAACCCATCTCAACCCAAGTCACTGCCACGAAGTCAGTTGGGACTCACAGATGTTTTAAGACAGAACAGAACTGCCCCATAAGAATTCCAAAGTTGTCATCTTTTGCATTGGGCAAATCTGCTGCAAAAGCACCTCTTTAAAGTGTTACAGGGCAAAGATGTTATTTTGAGGACTAAGGTGTACCTGACCCTAGCATCACAAAAGCATGTGAAACTTGAACAATTAACATAGACGACCAAGGTAAAATTGATGCGTTTGAATTATGGTGTTGGAGAAAATATTCAGGCAGAATGTTGGCGGTGAAAGGATGGTGAAACTGAGATGGAATGAGCCAGAACACAAACACCCACGTGTAAGGCTTTATTGGAGGTCGGGAGGAGAGAGAGAGAGAGTATTGCTGGGGGAAGGACTTTTATACTGGTCAAAGAGGAGGGGGGTTGAGATTAGTGGAGGTAAGTGATAGGTTGACTAGGGATGCCATGCAGGTAGGGAGAGAGGAAGTTCCCAGTAGGTTGGAAGAGAGGTTCTGGGAGGGAGAGCAAAAGCGTGGCAAGCAGCCATTTTATTATGCACGTGGATGAGAGATTCTATCAGAAACCGACATCTCATGTACTTTGGACATGTTATCAGGAGGGATCAGTCCCTGCAAAAAGACACTGTGGTAAGGTAGAGGGTCTCTGGGAGGTTTGAAGTCTGAACTCTGAGCTGCATCTTCTGGGGCTCAGGTAGGAAGTGGGTGATCATGAAGCTGAGGGGCTGTGGTCACTCACCCCTCACTGCTCCTCCAGCTTCTGCTCCTAGTTGGTCCTGTGGTTGTGAACCATGGATGAAGCGACCCTCCTCAGAGGGGATGAGATCTGGGAAGATTCTCCACTTGGACAAGCACAGGAGCATCAGCACCTCCCAGGGAGTCTTATGGGGGAAGCACATGCAGCCTGCCTTGGGGGAGGAGATCTTAAGAGTCATCCATACCACTCCCCCTTTTAGAAAGTTCTAGAAGTTCCGGTGGTGAGGCTTCTACTCTAAAATACTAGAGAGCCTGGAAGGTTTGCTTGAAGCTGCTCAAGACAAACTGAGCAACTTAAAGGGGAGTTGGGTGCCCAAAGGGCCAAGGCAGAGCTGGGATTCTTACCAATTGCAGGAGGGAGAGCAGAGAGAAAGGACCCCAGACATTGGGATTTTTTTACCAAATTCTGGTTCTTCCACTCAGCAGCCTCAAGACTTTTCAGCAACGCCTCCAGTGCAGGAGTCAGGTTTCCTCAGCTATTAAAAATCAAGGCCACCCCCATCCAAGGGACGCTGTGGGGGTTCATAGCTTGAGTGAAGGGCTTAGATATGAATCCTGGCACCCTCAGGCCTGTGGTCAATGATGAGAGCCAATGCTGGGACTGACCCTGGAGGACCCTGGAGACCCTTGGGGGTCGACCACACCCCTCAACCTCAGCATAAACTGCAGATAACAGTAGACACATCACAAGGTCTTGACAGGAGGTGACAGGCCCAGTAAAAACATTACACTGAGCCTGCCTAAGGGCACAACAGAGCTACTGTTCTGACTGAAACACGAAATCTTGAGAGTTTCTGATCCTGAATTATTTACCTGTTACTTCCTTAATGGGAATCCTGGTGTGGCACTGCGGGTTAATGTGCTGGACCGCAAGGTCGATGGTTCAAGCTCATCAGCCTCTCCTTGGAAACCCTATATAGGGTCACTATGGATCAGAACTGACTCAAAGGCACTTAACAACAACAACTTCCTTAATGAAACCCAGATCCTGAATATTGTCTGGAAGTTCTGCAAGGCCATTGTAACAAATTATCAACCCAGAAGCAGAGAGTACCCTGCGGGGGACAGAACTGGTAAAGAAGTCAGAGGAAGGAAGTATGTATGGCCTTCCAAAATCTCATAGGAATCAGCCTTGGGCTAACTGATGCCAATTAATTCTCCCCGACGTGAAGTTACATCAGACACCATTCATACACCATTTTCCAAAGTATGAACCAAATGTTCTCATCCCTGTTAGAAACCTACCTCCTCTGGTATAACAAATAGTATTGAGATAGAGAACTGCATAGGAGGCTACTTGATGGTGACTACTGGGAAAGTTAAGGAGCTCTGGTAGCGTAGTGGTTACGAATCTGCTACCAGCTGTTCTGCGGAAGAAAGATGAGGCTTTCTGCTCGCGTAAAGATTTACAGCCTCGGAAACCCATCAGTCGGAACCGACTCCACCACGGCACATAACAACAACAACTGGGAAAGTTAAATAAGGACTAAAAATGTTATTTGTGAATGCAAAGGATTCCACAGTGTGCTTACAGAAGTTTTTAATTGCTTAGACTAACATAGTGCTCTAAGTTGACTGAGGAATAGATAAGTGATTAAGGTGTTTAGAAAGCATTGTTCTGTTACCTCCTGTTGTTAGCTGTCAATTATGGCAACCTGTATATTACAGAGTAGAACATCCCCATGGGGTTTTCTTGGCTGTAACCTTTAGAAGAGCAGATCACCAAGCCTTTCTTTTGTGGTGCTATGGGGTAGGTGTGAAGCACCAATGTTTCAGTTAGTTGTCAAGCCCAAACAGTTTGCACAACCCAGGGATCTCATTCGGTACAGCAATAGGTAAGTACCTCAATAAAAGCTCTTGTAGTGTAGTGGTTACAAGTCGGGCTGCTAACCTCACAGTCAGCAGTTCGAAACTACCAGCGGTTCCACGGGAGAAAGATGAGGCTTTCTGCTCCCGTGAATATCTATAGCCTCGGAAACCCTATGCAGGCTCGCTGTGAGTCAGAATCGACTCCACGGCACACCACCACCACCACAATAAGAACTAACAGGAATGCCATCCACGCCCCCCCTCCCCCTTTACAGATGGCCTGTGTTGGGCACAGTGGGAGCAGGCACTCCTGGTTTGAGAGTTAGGCTACGGTGTAGATGTGATCAGACATCAGGTTGTCAAGACTCCAGGGTCTGTACTATGATCTATCAAAATCCCACCCAAACCACTAAAGGAATCACGTGGGGGAGCCTGGACCACTTCAGGTGTCAATGTTGTTCAGTTGTTGTTGAGTCAAGTCCGATTCTTAGCGATGCTACCTGATAGAGTAGAACTGTCCCTTATGTGGATTCGAACCGCTAACATTTCGGTTAGTAGGTTAGCATTTAACCATTGTGCCACCAGGGCGGGCCCAGTGTACCCATCAGAGGGATGTGTGGGGCAGATGGGAAACGGGGTCACCACTCCAGTCACTGGTGGAGGCTGATGCAGACGCCAGGGTTCAACCAGGCCCCCCTGACATAAGGTTTTCCTGCTTCCACACCAGATATCACACAGAACCTGCCACAGAAGGGACTTGGGGACAAAAACACACAATCCCCCTCAAAGAGGCCTTTCAGCAACCCACAAGCACCTATTCACTCCCCGTTCCTTACCAGGTCCCCCAACCCGCCCCAGGCAGGGAAGACACTCACTTAATGCCATCCAGCCAGGTGACAAACTCATTCATAGGCGCTGCTGGTAGGGGCGTGACACTGAACGGAAGACTCCAGGGCACAGTCCACCGTGTTGAATATGACCAGGCTGAGCTGGCTCCCCCCATACTGAGAGCAGAAGAATGAAGAACACTTTAGCCTGCCCTCCCCCCCCCCCCCACCTCAGATCTGTGAGTCACGGTGGGGTCCCCCTCCTCTCAGACCAGGAAGTCAGGGCACCTGGTACCCTTCTCTTCCCTCAGACCCAGGGGTCCCGGGACTCACGTCTCCCCCTAAATCTGTCTCCGCAGCAGGACCACCACTGCGAGGGGGGCGGGGATGGGGCGGGCGCAAAAGTCCACTCACTCGATGGCCAGGGGCAGGTAGTCCTTGTGGAGGCCTCTGAAGTAGGGTGCCAGGTTGGCCACCAGACCCCCGGCGCGGGCAGGGTCCTCGGACCCGGGGACCAAGATTCCCTGAGCTGGAGCGGCAACAGCCAACACCTACGCGGAATGGCCACAAGCGCGCATGCGCGCAGTGGCCCTGCAGAAGTGCCCTCAGGCCTGATTGTGATGGGCAGCCAAGGCGGCTATGCTCCATCACCTGCCTGACTAGTCCCCTCAGAAAGGGCATATTGTTAAAAGCCATAGAGATGGTTCTGATTCAGCGACCCTGTAGAGGGTTTCCAAGGAGCAGCTGGTGGGTTTGATCCACCGACCTTGTGGTTAGCAAGCAGTTCAGTGATATGGAGGAAGACTAGGTAGGACAGGAGTGACGCTTTCAAAAGATGAAAACCGGTAGAAGGGCTGAGTGGGGCATACCACGGAGTTTATCTTAATTAGTAATGAATGTCGCCTTGAGCATTGTGCTTTTTT